TTAAATCCTTCGTAAATAGACGAAAATGAATGCTGTAAAAATCGCCCACAAAGTTATTAAACGATGGTGGCAACTGCGCCAACAATGCATTGTGCAGCGTCTTTTGGGTGTTTTCCAAACTTAAGGTCGATAGTGGCTTCTTATTCAGATAAAGTAGCCGAGGCTTTATTAATTCAAGGCATTCATAGCTATTATATAGCTCATCAATCGCATAAATAAATGTGAAGTATAAAGCATTTGGATCTGAGAACGCTGCTGTATTTATAGGTATATCCAATTTGACTTTGGGTGCTTCGTTTTCGGTAGGCGTAAAGTGTTTCCAAAACCTGGGAACAAGTACATTCCGAATGGTAGATTCAATTTCCAAATTTAAAATAGATGTTAATGTTGTAATAGTTCCTAAGCTCTCGAGATGCCGGTAAACATTCTCAAAAACTTCATCTTCTACTGTCTCTAGTGGAGATGTAATCTGCAAATGTTAACTTGATTGTAGCACTGAAAAATATAAATTTACAATACCGCTTACCTTTCTACCGAGAATTGGGAATATTTTTAATACATCCAACCACAATGTATTTATATCACACATTTTTGTTTGGCTTAAACAAATCTGTTTGAATTAGGTATGATTGTTCTCAATTTATTTATCGAAACATCTTATATCGATGATTGTAAATAGTGACAATGAGCTAGTTTTCACCAAAGTGCATTTATTTCAACCACTAATGCTTCAACTTATAAAATGACTGGTGAGACCCTATTATATCGATAACAAACAAAAATGAAGGAACTACGAGTCCAGTGAAAATCCAACTTTGCCCTTGTGTCAACAGAATAGCAAAACCTTTATGGATTTAAGAAAACCATGGGATCCATATTTGATAGGCCGTATTCGTATTTTAAATTCATGGATACATTTCAATATTACCTTCTATGACTTGTATATCGTTCTATTGAATTATTACGCTAATAGATATCAGATGATAAGCGAATTGCTAATGTTACGGTATAGGGACCATACATATGTATTCATTTATGCATATATTTATTATAAGTGTTTACGTATGTATGTGTCAATAATTTCTTGAAGGGCAAAGTCCAAAGACCAATTCATTCATATCTAAAAATGAACTTTAAATACTTTTTGACGTTCCTTAACATTCATTTTATCAGTCATGGAACTGTTATAACCATACTGTTATGTTTTTAACCTGTATTTATTTTTGTAAAAATATACAAAGAGCTGTACAGTGCCACAAATAATATAACATACTTTCTTAACAAGCGTCTATTGAATTTAACTATTGTTTTATTTTCAGAATGAATCAACAAACAGTGGTTATTCTCGTCATGTAAAGCCGTTATAATTGAACTTTTTTGGAAATATTTCGTTGGAATATCGAGTCAATTGTCGAAAAGACATCACTGGCTTTTTTGGCAGCATCGACCTTGAAATGCAATCCCCTCAATCCGTAGTAGTCAACCAATGGCTTGGTTTGCTTATGATACGCCTCCAATCGTTTTTTCAGTGCTTCGGCATTATCGTCGCTGCGCTTCATTAGCGGCTCTCCAGTAATCTATTGTGGAGTATTAAAGAAAATATAATAATGTTTAACTTGCCGAATATTAAAATTCAAATTAACTTACATCATCCTTCATCGGAACTTTAGGAGGAGCAAATTCCTCATGATATGATCTTCCACTTGCTTGGTGAATCAATCGCCCAGTTATTCTCCTTACCAATAGATTGTCATCTATAGCAAACTCGATTACGGCATCCAGGCTTGTCTTTCTTTTGTCCAGCAACGAATCAAGCTAGAAAAGAATAGATAGAATTTATTATTATTATTATGATGATTATTAAATATGACAACTTTATTTGATAGAATAGATAGAATCTTACCTTTTGAGCTTGCACGACAGTCCTTGGGAATCCGTCCAAAAGAAAACCATTCTTACATTCTGGCTTATCCAAGTTGGAGTCAATCATATCCACTACCAAATCATCTGATACCAGTTTTCCCTCATCCATAACTTTTTTCAGTTCGGCACCAAGTTTTGAGCCTGATGCGATCTCTGCGCGCAGCATGTCGCCAGTTGATAGATGACAGACACAAAACTTCTCTTTTAGCAAAGGTGCCTGAAAGCAGAAAATTAAGTATGTTAGATTTTGTATGCCAATCAAACAATTCCAATTCACAAATTGTGCATTCTATAATAAGTTAAGCATATGCTTTATATGCCTCAAACTGCCAACGATTCTTTGAGTCATGTCAGTGAGCATTATAAGACTTTAAAATTAATCTTTACAAATTTGATAACAAAGCTTCCGGAATGCAAACAGCTTACAAATAAAATATTTATTTATATAATTGGAAGCATTCAAAAGGAAAAATATCATGAATTCTGAGAAATATAGAGGAAAGGTAATACAACTCACAAATGTTCTATCGTATTTCTATATGAGACCATACCATAGATGTCATGCTTATGCTTTCTTAAATAAAAAGGATTTGGAAAAATAGAGATTACAATAACGAAGTCATTAAATAAATACATTTTTCCATCCACATCAGCTAACATCATCTGTTATATACAAAAAATTAAATATTATTTTAAATCGCCTAGTCAAAAATATTTGCATAGGACATAATTTGCGACATAATGAATTTGATTCGCAACAGTTGAAATTCGATAAGACCGTTATATTATTCATTTGTAACGCGCTTAATGAAATTATGAATATGATTATAAATTTATATATTCTGATTAGATATATTGGATAATGGGTAAAGCAAATAAGCATAAATAAATTAATTAATTCAATTTAAGATAATATAATGAAATAGAAAGTTGAACATAAAATACTATTTTAAAGATTAGGTGCCCTCTATAGACCCGAAAAAGAAATAAGAATGTAGCCTTATCACCGAAACCTACATACCGACATATACACACACAAACATCTGTATTTGTTGCGAAGTATTCCCTGACAAACGTGTAGAACTGCCGGCCAACTACACATACATGCACTAAATTACTACATATGTATGTATGTATATGTAAACTTAATAAGGTCGAAGCTGCTTTCTTCTATACAACCTGTTGCATACACACACACACACACATATATATATATATATATGTTAAATATATTTAATTTAGTGAAGACATACGTAGTGTGCACAGTTGGTATTCGAGCGCCAATGTCTGGGTACATACATTACATAACATTATACATATATGTATGTGTCTACAACCCACCTGTGTCCCTTTTCCAGAGCCTGGTGGGCCCAAGAGAATAGCGTTCACACCAGCAGTACTGGGCTCGTAGCGCTCCACAGGTATCGATACGTTTGGTGCCATTGTGTTATTATTAGACTTTTATTGTTTTCGAATCAACCTTCTTTCATTAAGATTTTATTTCTTAATAACAACCGCGGCAAAGTTCAAGGGTAAAAGTAAGGACCAGAATGAACCAGATAATGAACTGAGAACTGAACCAATTAAATTCTCCACGGGTGGAACAAAAATGAACTCAACACGTTTTACAGAATCGATTATCGATAAGCACAATTAATAAATTTCATTGATATTGTGTTTCCACATGCCACATTTTATTTTATTTTACATGCAATGTCATTTTTGATTAAAAATAATTTATAAAATTAATATTTTAACAATTCTTATTTCTAATATACTTTTCATCTTTGAACTTTAGCTACAAAACTAAGCAAATTTGTTATTTTTATATTTCCTTTAGATAATTGAGCGAAATAATATATATAAAACTATACATTTTTAGAAGATATTAATTTGCCATGTAAGCAGTGAGATTATAGATAAATGATAAATAGCTTTAAGACTAGAAACTATAGTGATCATGCAAACAGACAGCAAAATAACAAGAAGACATTGTACAATACTTGGCGCTTGTCCACGGCTCATTCTAGAAACACTTGCAATGAGTCATCCAACTGTCTTGACTTCGTAAAAGATCTCTACATATAGATTTTATTTGAATCGTTGCCTTCTAGTAGAGTTTAAAGGGAACTGGTTACTGCATTATTTCTGAATAAAGACACTGAGCACAGATTGTATTATTTGATTATTGCTATTGCAGTTTATTAATATATCAATTCGGACCACAAGTTGAAGGCAATAAAAGCTATGCAAACCCAAATTCCTTTTATATATGTTTTTATTTTAAAATTATAGATTCTTGAATCACCACCCCCTCTAAATTATATTTTCAAATATTAGTCTACGACTTTGGAGTGTGTACAAAAATAATACTTTAACAATCTATTTATGTAAAAGTACAACAAAAATCTCGTAAGGCAGAAATAATTCCAGTTAATCTTCACAAGTTTAATATAAAAACAAAATATTTTCTTTTTAACAATTGCAACAATGAAGGTAATTTACAATTTTTAAAATTCATGCAGGGCCATCTTGACTTATCTACATAGATTTCTTTATAATGAACAGAAGATTATATACAGGAATTAAGAATTTATTATTATAACGAATCTATCACTATTTTATAACTAAAAACCGATCTTTATAAATTTTATCCCGATGGTTTGATGTTAGAATAATATTTAGAATTGGGGCGACGCGATTTATTCTCTGCTGAAATCTTTCACGATCTAGAGCGATCTGTTGCCAACCACCTTTCCGAGCCGCCCGATAAGCGTAATCCCAAGTGTGCATGACATGAACCTTTGGTTTTAAATCAAAGCGTACCTGAAATTATGAAAATTCTTATTTTTATTTCCAAGTTAATTTAATTAATTTAATTATTTTAAACATACCCGCTTCCGATGTTCTTGACTATTATCGATATCAGACATTTTATCCGTTCCATTACAATCTGTGCAGGCAAATGCAATCGAATCAATACTTTTGTTATCATCCTCGAAGCAAATAAAACTGTCATCACTACATTCGGACAGACTTCTTTGTCGTTGAAGCTTCGGATCACTCGCCTCTGATGTTTGGTGACAGCTACTTGGTTGTTGTTTATCCGAAAGATTTGTGTAGTTTTGATAAGAATTCATGTTGTAGTCCGAAAAATTATAATCATTCTCAGATTGCGGTTGCATATCAATAAAAAAGTAACAAAATGACGGGGCACTACTAGAATTAAATTCAATCTGCGTCATAGTAGAGTTCTTGGGTTGTGATGTTGTGCAGTGCTGCAGCGCTCTGTTAACAGCGTCTGCCATCAACTGGAAAGAAAACATTGCTGCGGCGAGTGGTTGTGGCGGTAACTCATCTAACAATATATTCGCATTCCTTTCTTCAGAATTGTTAAGTAATCCCTTATCAGATTCTGAAGTAGTTTTCGTACGTCGCGGCGATGCGAAGCAATATTGTTTATGAATTGGGGAGCTCATGGCTATAATCATTTGCAATATATGCAGCATAAAATCAATTGCAATTTGTATGTTTGATTATTGATCTCAAATTCACAGATTCTGATTCATCAACATCCAAGCGTATTTGTTTACAAAAATCCATCTTCATTATTTTAGTTTGAAATTTTGAGCACAATCTCAATTTTATATTATCCATGTAAATAGTTACTTATTTATGTAGCGCTTCAATATGTCCATCAGTTGATTTTTAACACATTTTGTGTTTGTCCTATTGAAGGTATGTACGTATGTACATATGTATGTATATAAGAACCATGAAATTGCTCGGAACGATTGCGAAATATTGAATGCTGAATTTATACGTTAATATTTAGACCATCTGATTGGGTGTATTTCCTTGTCGTAGTCTTTGTAGTAATATTTTGTAGTATTGGCAATAAACTCCAAAATTTATGACGAGAATGTAAATCACACGTTTTTAATAAAATATGTTCCATACTATTCAACTTGTAAAAATGAATATGATTGATTGTCTCTATGATTGTAGAATTCAGAGTTAATTTCAAAAATATCGATAGCATTTGACTATTTTCCACTGGCCGTGTTATTTTTTTTAGGCATATGCTAGTTATCAGGGTACTTGATTGGTGGTTTATTACATATATATAAAATTGGAAATCTTATGTAAATAAAATCTTACATATATAAACAAGATTTTTGCGTAATATGTAAAAAAAAGTGTACTTAACCATTGATTTATATACCTGTAAACTCTTTAGGCAGGATACATATTTATATATCAAAAACTACATAAATCTGCACTGAATGCAATGTTGATTAATTATATTTTTTGTATCATTATTCTGTATAATTAATTTTATTTTATTTTATTTTTTATAATCGAACCAAATTAAATGCGTTGCGTATACCGGAAATATACAATATGAGTGCATGGATAACTAACATAGAATATAGGATAATTTGATAAAAAAAATTTTTAATAAAATTTGATCATATATATATAGCATTTTGTAAATATATAGCATTTTATAAATATATATCATTTTATAAATATATATAAATATATATATATATA